TAAATATGAACATTTCATTTTTAATTCACATGCTATCTGATAATTCAATATGTTACATATCCATATTGATATTTCTATTAATTATAGTTGCAGTATGACATCTGTCTGCTCATCTTACACCTCTGCAACTTCTATAATAAATCATTAGTCATGAGTGAGCACTATATATTATGAGGCTGAATCTTGTTTTCCCTGCTGTTGATCAATGTGGACTTTCAGCTTTGTAGGCTTATACTCCAGAGAGCAATCCTTTAACCTGATTCTTCTTTGTCATTTCTTCATTTGGATATTGGGCTCTGTGTAACTGCACAGCTGGTCTGGCTTGAGTAGCTTCACATTCCCATCCAAATGGCAGAGCTGGCTGTACTGAGAGGTAACCATGCTAGCATTAACATAAAAGGTGGCTAAATGACTAGGGACTCCAACTCTTTCTGAATGTCTCTCATCAAGCACTAAGAGATCACAGCCCTTGGATCTGTCCAGGGGTTGATGTTGATGTTTTTTAATAGAACTCACTGCTCTGGCCCCAAGTCAAACAATCTTAGTTTTCAGGCAATTTTATTTTTGGAAGCAAGAGAAATTCAGAGAGCCTCAGGAATTTATGCTTTGATATTTTCATGGGAAGAATTATTTTTAGTTCTGATTTCTCTAAGCCTTCCTGTTCTCCCAGTCCTCAAAGACAGATGAGTCCTAGAAATAGGAAATTAGTCAAGAGGAGAAAGAACTTTCTAGGAGTATGTGGATTCTTGGCAGCTTTTAATTAGAATGGTTCAGTGCTACTCCCTGCAAAAAAGTAAATAAATAAAATAAGTATTCGATAGTGTCAGTAGTTTGGGAGAGGTAAATAGGTTCCATGAAAATATTCTATGCTACTCAAAAGACATCAGTGTAGCAAACAAGAGAGATATTACCCTGTTTTCACTGGGCTTGAATTCTAATAGAGGGAACCAATAAACAGTCCACAAAATAATATTACGTAATCCAAGAACTAAGGAGAAAAATGTAATCAAGAAGAGTGATAGAAATTGACAGGGATATATAGATGACATGGTCATAAAAGAGTCTACTGAGAAAATGATATTAGGATAGAGAATTTAAAGCAAGTGATGGAAGGATCACAACGAAGTCTGAAGGAGGTGCTTCCTGAGAGGAAGTAGCAAGACAAAGGCCGTTGGGCAAGATTGTGCCTGACAAATTCAAGGAGAAGAGGAAAGCTAAAGGAAGCAATTAGAGGAATTCAGCAAGGAGATTGCAGTGGAGAGAGGTGGGGGTATACAGGAAGAAAGTCAGAAATCTTAAGGTGATACAAGGTCTTTGTGAAGATACTGCATTCAGGCATATTGTTTCACACCTTTAGCTTTACTTCTTTGGAGTCAAAGGCTAGCCTGAGATACAGTGGGTCTTTGTCTTGAAAAAAAACAACAACAAAAAGAATGTTATGAGCCAGTGAGAACCCTCAGTGGGTAAAAGCACTTGCTCACAAACCTGATGACCTAGGTTTTATCTTCAGGACCTACAGAACACAAGGAGAAAACAGATTCCTAAAGGTTTTCCTCTGATCTGCACATGTGTCCCATACACATGCCATATACATACAAACAAAAGGGCAAGTGTGCTGGCTAGTCATAGGTCCACTTGACACAAGCTAAAGTCATTAGAGAGGAGGGAAACTCAGCTCATGATTAAAGCAAAGATCAAGAGGACTAGTGTGGCAATATGAAGCTTGGGAAATGGAGGGCAGCTATATCGCAAAGGGTATTGTAGGTTACATAAGAGAGATATAGGGGTTACCTGAGAGATATAGGGGGCCAGAAATTACCAGTAGGGGGATTAATGATCAGGTATATGCTTTTGAAAGGTCACTTTTGATGGGGAGTAGGGAGCCTATGGAGAAGAATAAGGTGTGATTAAATGCAGCAGTGACCACCACCCTGTAATGGGGCAGGGCACAGTCAACATTGCTGGTAGCTTGGAGAATGGAGGGGTGTGAACACACCTGAGCCATTTAGGACCTGGAATAGAAGGGACTGTGTGGTTGACTGGACATAGCATCCCTGAAGGGAAAGGCTAAAACAAGGAACTATCAAGGATGCCTTTCATGTTTCTGGCTCAGTCGATTTGATGCACGGTCACACCCTTACCATCAAACTCATCAGAAATAACTAAGTCAGAGGTGAATTGGGTCTCTCAGAGCATGCTATAGATTTAACCTCAAAGAAATATTTCCTGCATTTTTTTCTATACTCTCTCCACGAAATGAAAAATTTAGAGATATTCCCATCATATGTCATGTCTTGGGTGAATTAGTTTAATCTTCGCACTTTAACAGAGGAATGTTATTTCCAGGCAACAGTCCCTGTAGATCTGTGTTTGGAGCCTTGTGATTTCACACACCAGCCTGGAAGGCGCAGGCTTTTCTAAAGCTGAGCATGTGGCGCCATCTTCGGGACAGTTTTGCAAATCCTTCTAAAGCAAGCTGACTGCAGGGCAAGCCTGTCACATTTGAACACTTTCTACCCAAAGACTCCGACTCCATCTTGTCTGGTAAATTAAGCTGGGAACAATGTTTCTCTCAAGTCCAGTTGTGCAAGCAGAGTCTTTGTCTTCACAAGAACTGAATTTTAAAACAGAACGCAGGAAGCAATGCAGGCAAATTCTCCTTCAAATTCATTCTAGCTTAGTGCCTGCAATTTGAAAACAAGCGGTGTGGAAAAACTGCATGAGGAAATTAAGGCAGCATGGCTGCAGGTTTACTGCCTCCTTTCTCATCTGCTATGCAGCAGTCTGGCTTCTTATTCAGGAGGGTTTTTTCTGCTTTATAGTAGCTAAGTAGAATCTAACTCACACAACAGAATGATTTTAAAATGCTGGAATATAAACACTAGAAGAAAATATCATTTGTCTGATTTCACCCTCAAAAATTTGGTTTAGAATATGTAATCTCATAAGTCTATACAAACTTCACTTTAAAAATGAAAGACTGCAAATAAGGCATCACTATTACACCCAGAGATAACTGTAGAAGGAAAATGACATATTGAGAACTTAATCATTTGGTTATGGTCTCACATGCTGCCAATGAATCTACAGAGGTAAGTTCTAACCTCCAAACTCCCTCTTTAGAATCCATTGTCTTGATGAAACTCTCTCCCCTTCTTAGGGGGAAGGCATCCATTGTGGCACACTCCTGCAACCAAGCCTTAGTCAAAAAACCAATCTAATAATCTCAGCAGAATGTGGCACACTCCCGAAACTAAGCATTAGTCAAAAACCAATCTAATAATCTCAGCAGAAGGCTTCAAGTTGAGGTCCATATACAGAACCTAGAGCAACTCTGCCCCTATGTAGAATTCCTTTTTGTGACTCTCAATAGTTCTGCTGTAGACATGGCCTACATGGCTGGGAAGTCTTTGAGAAGTTGGGCATCACAGAGACCACTGTCTGCACAGCTAGAGGATGACCTCTTCCCTCATCACAGACAGTTCTGGATCAAGGCCAGAGAAGAAGAACCATGGTCCCTCTAATGCTTAGAGTTATTCTGTTCCTGAAGAAGGGACAGAAACTAGTAACATATTTCATACTGTTCAAGCAGTCATTTTTTTACACTTTCAGTCTATTCTGCTATAGATATGATCTTCTTGATGAGAGTCAGTTCATGTTCAATGGGGATCAGAGAATGTTGTCATCTGCAGGTCACACTGGCCCATGAAGGACCTTCCCCAGCACAATGGTGTGCTGTACCAGAATACTCTAGCACACTGAGCATCTCAGGATGGCTGCTTTGTTCATCCTGAAACGTTTTTTTCCCAATTATACATGAATTTATTGTTATAAAATAGACAACATTGCAAGGGAGCTCCCAATTAACAAAGCACAGAATACTGTTACAATTGGATCAAAATAGAAGTGACTGGTTACATTGAAAATGGCAAATTGATCACCAGCATTATGTGGCTACTTCCCTGAAAGCAGAGTGTCTGGATCTGTAAACTAGGACAGTTCATTGGTGACTGACAAGGATTCTTTCAACAAAAACACAAGACAAAATGCAGTTAAGAGCTCTAGGCTAATGCTTTGCATGCAATTGAACACTGCCTGTCAGTTCAGGTCTATCTTGTGAAAAATGTATATATGCTCTATTTTTATACAGCTAGAGGTTATAGAAAGCAAATTTTAAAATAATTAAAATGCTGAGACTCAGGTGGCAAAGCGCTTGCCTTGCATGCATGAGTCCTTAGATTAGATCTGCAGCACCACACTTTACAAAAGTGAAAAGGTTTCTTTCCTATAGTCAGGGGATTCTAAAAGGAATGCATCAAAATGTTTTCTGACTTTGTGTATACATTTCATACATTTGTGTGTAAACCATAAAATGACAGATGCTTTCAGCCCTAGGTTGAGTAGATGTGGATGGTATAACTACAATGACAAGGTCTAAATTTAGATTTTATAGTTCTTGTGTGACTTTAGCAAAGTTGCCAGTTGTACTAATATTTGGTTTCTCATCTACATAGTAGAAATACTAATAATGTCTCTGGCCTAGTTTGTGATAAGGGTCACAGATTTTTGTCTGTGTAAAGTACACAGCTCTTTGTGTATAATTAAATAATAAGTGATGTTAATAATGCTACAAGGAATTCACTTTTAATCATTCATAACATTATACATCACTTTAAGGAGGCTTAGATACTACCTAAATCCAGAGATCCTGCTATGAGGGGTAGGCCTTACATTTGAAAATGGCAGTCAGGAGTGAATGGCGGAGCAAGTGCCCATATTTGTGAAGCTGAAGAAGCTCACTGCATGGAAATCTCTGTGGCTCTTATGGAAAGAAAGCCACAGTTTGGTGGCCTCAACAGAGACAAAGTTGAAGGGAAGAAGAACTCACAATTGTAATGGAGGGGTAATGGATAAAATAAAAGGTAATGTTTTCTTTGTTGAAAAAACCATAAATGGTAGACGGAGAAATAACGAAATAAGTGGTTATGGATGCCACATGATTTCCATTGAAATTGTGTCAGTTTTAATGTTACAAGAGGCTGTCATATGCAAATTCTGAGACACAAGTGACATCACACAAATGAAGTATTTCCTGTTCATGTTTCAGGGCAATGTAGTAGTTTCTGATCAAGCTTCTCTCTTCTCTCTGGTGTTTACTTGTAGATCTTGCTATGCAGAACCCACAGGCCACCAATATCCTGGAGTATTGGGAGTAACATGCTCCTACAGACCTGAAAGTGCTTATCATTTGTCAGATTGTTTGCCAGTCAGAACCTAATGTTACAGCATTATCCACAGCCATCTGTATGCAGAAGAAAAAAGATACAGGTTTTGAAGCACAATGTAGCCTCTGCCTCAGGCACTGTTATACAAAATAGATATACTATTTTTCTTAATATAAACCAATACAAATTCATAATCTATCTATAAACAAGAAAAAATGGAATTGCATCTGGAAATCTGGGCATTAGTGTACTGACTCTATCTCAAATTACAGATTACAATATGTGAATTAACTTTTAAGCATCATAGTTTTGCAGCAGTAATAACCAGTGCTGAGTTCTTTTTTTTGTTTGTTTGTTTTTTTGTTTGTTTGTTTTTACGAGACAGGGTTTCTCTGTATTGTTTTGGAGGCTGTCACTCCAGCCCGGCCTCGAACCCACAGAGATCCGCCTGCCTCTGCCTCCCGAGTGCTGGGATTAAAGGCGTACGCCACCACCGCCTGGTAGTGCTGAGTTCTTAATTTGCATGAGGAACTTAAAGGCTGCTACACACTGCCCAGTTTACATAGGATATGAAAGTGAATGTGGACTTGAGATAGTCCAGCACTGGGAGGCTGAGGAAGGAGGATTATCATGAATTAAAGACAACATGAGCTAAATTAGAGTGAGACCCCATCTTAAAGAACCATGTAGGGAGATTTTTCCTGTCCTGACCCAAATACCCAGCAGCCCCTTCCCAAGTACCCACAGCCACTTCCCAAATAATTGACTTGGAGACTTGATATAAATTATAAGTGCTTGTTCAATAGCTCAGGTTTGTTACTAGTAACTCTTGCATTTTAAATTAACCCATATTCCTTATTTATGCTCCACCACATGGCAATACCTTTATTAGCATGATAGGTTCTTTTCCTACTCCCTCTGTGTCTGGTTAATGACTCCCCTGACTCCACCTTTCTTCCTCCAAGAATCCTCTGTGTTTGCCTGTCCCATCTATACTTTATGCATGGCTACTGGCCTATTAGCTTTCTATTAAGCAATGAGAGTAATACACAGTGTACAAAAGGATATTCCACACAGAACCAAACTCCTAAACTGAAAGGTCTCAGTTGCCTAAGTTCATAGAGATAGGAGGTGAAAGACGAAAGGTTCAGACATGGGTCTTACTCCATAGGTCGTTAGAATCTATGGACTTCCGTGGCTTTTTTTCAACTCCAAGTTTCTTCACATGCTTATTTGAAGTGATGTTGTGTGTATTGCTGGAAATTTTGGTGTATATGTTAACTCATAAGATACATTCTTTTGTGTAACAAACCTTCTCAGAGTCAAGCGTTTAAGATAAGAATAATGTGTCATTTTTAGGGGTCTATAGGTTGACTGGATGGTATTCTATTCTGATCACTATTAGCTTATGTCACTCATGAAGTGGTTGGAAAGATTAGAACCCTAAATACTTGGTTCCATCAGCCACAATCCTTCTCTGATTTTCTCCCTTCTAGGACATCTCCTTATAGCCCCTTTTAAAAGAACAACATGGTCTTCCTTATTGCATAGTCTCATCTTGCAGCATGGCAAAAAATAAATATGGTCCCAGAGTTGGCTTAACATCACCTCTGATATATTACATTGGCCAAAGAAGTTATGAGGCTATCCCAGAGCAAAAGAGATGGCTCAGAGGTTAAGAGCACTGCCTGCTCTTCCAGAGGACCTGAGTTCAATTCCCAGCAACCACATCTTGGCTCACAATCATCTGTAATGAGATCTGGTGCCCCCTTCTGGCTTGCAGGGACACATGTAGGCAGAATAATGTATTCATAATAAATAAAAAAATCTTTAAAAAATTAAGACTAGAGACTTCACTTTTTAGTGAAAGAAGTGGCAGAGATGTTGCAACTCTTTTATCCACTATGTAACAGTCTTTTTGTGTGAATTGTGTCACCATCCCATACAAATTCCTAGAGATAGGCTGTGGTTCTCACAGCCTTGGCGCCACAACTCGTTCTTAGATTTGGCAGTGAGAAAGCCATAACCTATTAAATTTTAGTGGGAGAAAAGGTAATCTGACATACTCTTAGGGTTCCCATTGTGAAATTTGGTAAACTGTTTACAACCATTCATTTGCAGAAAAAATAAAGGAATGCGTCTACATGTCTCCAATGGCATCTCTGGATCTGTGCTTACTAGCTTCAGAGGCTCACCAACCCTTTTGGCCTAAACAAGGAGTTTTACTGTGTATTTTTGTCCGAAAACCATGGTATGTGATATGTTTGGAATTTAGAGAAAATGGCAGGTAAACATTTAAAAATGAATTAATCCCAATGGAAAGACTCTACTATCCTAAGATCTCTGTCCATTTTTTTGTTGACCACCTTTAATTGAAATCTGAAATTAGCCCAGCATTGACATTAAAATGTATCTTATAGCTCTCATTAACATTTTTTGAAGTGTAGGTAATTACATACCTCACTTTAGGCATAAGATGTGGACTATGCAGTGTGACAACAGCCCAAATTTGTAACTACTTTATAAAAGACTTTTAGGTATACACACACAGGAATGTACATGCACGTAAGCTAATATTAGGACAACTGATAAAAGAATGCAACTGTATAAGTACAAAACAATAAAAGTGAATAGTAAAAAGCAATTAGGTAAACTCAGCCCAAGAAGGTATGACTCTCAGGGAAGTGAAACAGATTTGTTAAGCTTACCTGCCTTGTTTGAACTTCACCTTGAACCATGAACTCACTTATGCTCTGTTGTACTACAAGTAAGACCTTTCTCTTCTGTTAAGGTCTCTTTCTTTGCTGAAATCCCTATAAAGAGATAATGACAAAAATTTATGAGGGTTAGATACAAAGGCAAAGGCCTGGGGCATATTGTTGGGAAGATAAAGACTGTTCATTTGGGAGCTATCTGTTCTTTTATTACCTGAGGAAAGATGGAGTGGTAATTGACATGTGGTTCTTGACAGATGTTGACAAGGAAAAAACATGTAAGTAAAGCCCTTGGAGTTTTTGCAAAGAATGATTATGATCCCTGCCTCCATGTTCCAAAACCTCCAGGGTACAATCAAATAGCCCCCCTTACCCTAAGTGCCAAGCAGGCATCCATGCAGATGGTATTGGACTGTATCAGCACCTGGCTGAAGAATAGAATTCTCTCATCTCACATAAAAGGTATACACAATAGAGATCACAGAGTGTGGAGTTGCTTTCATGTATTCTATTGCTAATCTCTCCTGAAATAGATATAGTGTTATGGAGAAAGAATTAATCAAGCAAATTCATTTTAACATCCAGAGCTTGCATTATGTAATTAAGCAATTTATTATTTTGTTCCAAAATTGTATTATGAAGCTAGAAATATTAACCAACATGCTATTAGGATAGCACTACACAAGAATAAAAATTAGATTTAGAAAGGGAAATTTACTCCATTTTTGCCAAGCATTCAGATGAAAAACTGTCAGTTGCACAGATGTTCTAGATATCCAGATGCTATGTAGGAAAAAAAGAAACTTTATTCATCCCTCTGTTTAATTATACATTAATTTGTAGACAACAAAAATAATTATAGGTATATAGGTAAATTATAGGTATATATGTTTAAAAAAGCCAAGAAAAACATAATAATATTATTTTTATATTTATCTTCAGTGTGTCTCCAGTAGAAGACTAACAATCTTTAGGTCTAATGAAAGATAACTTATCCATGAGAAATAAATTATAGCATTGATTTGATTTCTCTTCACCTTTTTGATTTGATAACTCACCTTTTCTGAGTTATCAGACTTTGAACTTCTCTGGTATTCCTAAATGATAATATGATATTTTCAATTTTTCCAGATAAAACTGGAAGAAAACTGTGAAGGAAAGATTTGTTTCAGTTGTTTGAATGGAATAGAAAAGTAATAAATAATGATACGAAGTTGTTCAGTGCCCCCTTGGTATTTTTTTATGTTTTTTTATTTTAATTTTAAATAGCTTGTTTTACATGTCAATCCCAGGTCCCTCTCCCTCCCCTCCTCCCGCACCCACCCATTCCCCCCCCACCCTACCACCCTATTGCCAATTCCTTCCACATAGGGGCTATCTAGAGTCTGTCATTTCACTTAGGGGAGTCCAGGCACTCCCCTAAGAGTCCAGGCTGCCTTCTTTGTGTTATGGACACACGATGTCTGTTTGTATTCCAGGGATTAATCCTGATCCACTGCTCAAGGCCCCATAGGTTGCCCAGGCCTCCTCACTGACACTCACATTCGGGGGGGGTCCGGATCAGTCCCATGCTGGCCTCCCAACTGTCGGTCTGGGGTCCAAGAGCTCTCCCCTGTTCAGATCAGCTGTCTTTGCTGGTTTTGCCAGCCCATTCTTTGCCAATTTGCTCATCGCTCCTCTCTCTCTGTCACTAGGTTCCTTGGGCTCAGTTCAGTGTTTAACTGTGGGTGTTTGCCTCTGCTTCCATCAGTCACTGGATGAAGGCTCCAGAATGGTTATAGACATCAAATTCATTGTCAGGAATGGGCATTCGAGGTGGTCTCTCCACTATTGCTTAGCTTGCCAGTTGGCATCATCCTTTTAGATCACTAGAGGTCACTCTGGTGCCTGATTTGTCTTCTAACCTATGATTCCCTCTTCCCCCTATTCTACTACCCCCCACACTCAACCTTCCTGTTCCCCCATGACCTACTCTCTCTTCCTCTTCTCCCTCTCTCTTCTTCCCAGCTCCCACTCCTCCCCCCCCTTCGCCGTGTTCCCCATCTGTTCAGAGGATCTTGCCTCATTCCTCTTCTCTTGGGTACTATGCATATCTTTGAGGTTCTTTCCTGTTTCCCAGACTCTGTATCAGTGGAAGTGCAGACTGGCACTATCCTGATCCATGTCTAAAATCCATATATGAGTGAGTACATACCATGTTTGTCTTTTTGTGAATGGATTACCTCACTCAGGATGGTTTCTTCCAGTGCTATCCATTTACCTGCGAATTTCAAGATTCTATTGTTTTTTTCTGCTGAGTAATACTCCTTTGTGTAAATGTACCACATTTTCTCTATCCACTGTTCAGTTGAGGGGCATCTAGGTTGCTTCCAGGTTCTGGCTATTACAAATAATGCTTATATGAACATAGTGGAGCAGATCCCCTTGTTGTATGATTTTGCCTCATTTGGATATATGCCTAAGAGTGGAATTGCTGGGTCTTGTGGTAGATTGATTCCCATTTTCCTGAGGAATCTCCATACTGCTTTCCAAAGTGGCTGTACGAGCTGGCACTCCCACCAGCAGTGGAGGTGTGTTTCCCTCTCTCCACATCCTCTACAGCATAAACTGTCATTGGTGTTTTTGATTAATTTTAGCCATTCTGACAGGAGGAGGATAGTATCTCAGAGTTGTTTTGAGTTGCATTTCTCTAATGGCTAAGGATATTGAGCACTTTCTTAAGTGTCTCTTGGCCATTTTAGCCTCCCCTATTGAGAATTTAATTGGATCCTTTGGTGTTTTGGAGACTTGCTTCTTGAGTTCTTTATAAATTTTGGAGTTTGGCCCTCTGTCAGATGTTGGTTAGTGAATATCTTTTCCCATTCTGTGGACTGCCTTTCTGTCTTGTTGACTTTGTCCTTTGCCTTACAGAAGCTTTTTAGTTTCAGGAGGTCCCATTTGTTAATTGTCGATCTCAGTGTTTGTGCCACTGGTGTTATGTTCAGGAAGTAGTCGCCTGTACCAACTCATTGAAGAGCATCTCCCACTAGCTCTTCTAAAAGTTTGAGTGTGGCTGGATTTATGTTGAGGTCTTTGATCCATTTGGACTTAAGTTTTGTACAAGGCGATAAACATGGATCTATCTGCAGTCTTCTGCATACCAGTACCCAGTTATGCCAGCACCATTTGTTGAATATGGTTTCTTTTTTCCATTGTATGGTTTTAGCTTCTTTGTCAAAAATCAAGTGTTCATAGGTGTGTGGGTTAAAATCAAGGTTTTCAATTCGGTTCCATTGATCTACCTGCCTATTTTTGTGCCAATACCAAGCTGTTTTCAGGACTATAGCTCTATAATAGAGCTTTAAGTCAGGTATGGTGATGCCTCCTGAAGTTCCTTTATTGTATAGGATTGTTTTGGATATCCTGGGCCTTTTGTTTTTCCATATTAAGTTGATTATTGTTCTTTCCAGGGCCTTGAAATATTGTGATGGAATTTTGATAGGGATTGCATTGAATCTGTAGACTGCTTTTGGCAAGATTGCCATTTTATTATGTTGATCCTACCAATCCAAGAGCATGGGAGATCTTTCCATTTTCTGGCATCCTCTTTGATTTCCTTCTTTAAAGACTCAAAGTTCTTGATATACAGGTCTTTCACTTCCTTGGTTAACATTATCCCCAGATATTTGATGCTGTTTTTGGCTATTGTAAAGGGTGATGTTTCTCTGATTTCTTTCTCAGTCACTTCATCATCTGTATATAATAGGGCCACTGATTTTTTTTGAGTTTACCTTGTATCCTGCCACTTTGCTGAAGGTGTTTATCAGCTCTAGGAGTTCCCTTGCGGAGATTTTCGGGCCACTTATGTAAACTATCATATCATCTGCAAATAGTGAAATTTGACTTCTACTTTTCCTATTTGTATTCCCTTTATCTCCTTTTGTTGTCTTATTGCTGTAGCTAGAACTTCAAGTATAATATTGAAGAGATATGGAGAGAGTAGACAGCTTTGTCTTGTTCCTGATTTTAGAGGAATTGCTTTGTGTTTCTCTCCATTTAGTTTGATGTTAGCTGTTGGTTTACTGCATATTGCTTTTATTATATTCAGGTATGTTCCTGTTATCACTGATCTCTCTAGGACCTTTATCATGAAGGGGGTGCTGGATTTTGTCTAAGGCTTTTTCAGCATCTAGTGAGATGATCATGTGGTTTTTCTTTCACAGTTTGTTTATATGGTGGATTACACTGATAGATTTTCTAATGTTGAACCATCCCTGCATTCCTAGGATGAAGCATACTTGATCATGGTGGATGATTTTTCTGATGTGTTCTTAAATCCGGTTTGCGAGTATTTTATTGAGTATTTTTGCATCGATGTTCATGAGGAAAATTGGTCTATAGTTCTCTTTCTTAGTTGTGTCTTTGTGTGGCTTGGGTATCAAGGAAATTGTAGTCTCGTAAAAAGAGTTTGGCAGTGAGCCTCCTGCTTCTATTGTGTGGAATATTTTGAGGAGTATTGGAATTAGCTCTTCTTTGAATATCTGGTAGAATTCTGCACTGAAGCCATCTGGCCCTGGGCTTTTTTTGTTTGGGAGACTTTTGATGACTGCTCCTATTTCATTAGGGGTTATAGGTCTGTTTAGATTGTTTATCTGCTCTTGATTTAGTTTTGGCAAGTGATATCTATCCAGGAAATTGTCCATTTCCTTTAAATTTTCGAATTTTGTGGAGTACAGATTTTCAAAGTATGCCCTGATGATTCTCTGGATTTCCTCAGAGTCCGTTGTTATGTCCCTTTTTTCATTTCTGATTTTGTTAATTAGCATGTTCTCTCTCTCTGTCTTTTGGTTAGTTTGGACAGAGGTTTGTCTATTTTGTTGATTTTCTCAACGAACCAACTCTATGTTTCATTGATTCTTCTCAATGATTTCCTGGTTTCTACTTGATTGATTTCAGCCCTCAATTTGATTATTTCCTGGCGTCTGCTCCTCCTGGGTGAGTTTGCTTCTTTTTGTTCTAGAACATTCAGCTGTGCTATTAATTCTCTAGTATGACTGTTCTCCAGTTTCTTCATGTGGGCACTTAGTGCTATGAAATTTCCTCTCAGCACTACTTTCAAA